CGTCGACGTCGCCACCGCCAGCTCCACTTCCTTGACGTCGGATGGACATCACATGGAACCTAGTGCTCCACGTCCGCTTTCGTATGGGAACCAGAGATGGGAAGCAAATTGGAACCGAATGGGACTGAGAAAACAGGCGGCATGCAGTCCTTTTGGTCTACATAGCCATAGTCTACCTGTGTCCACATGTCGTAATTTTGGATCCTGAGTTGTAAAATGGGGATGTAAATCTGAAAGAGAATTCACAAAATTACGCACCTTTGGATTGTTTTGCCGTTGGAGTGATAGAAAGTGTTTGCTCTCTTCAGTTGATTATACTGTGTTTTGGTTGGCAATCTTTTGTCCTAGGACACGGAGCTGATACTTTTGTCGGCATAATTGCCAAATTCGGGCAGTCTACGGGCGCATGAAATGTTCAGGGGGTTGGAAATACACTTCACCACAAATCCCATGATCTCCTTTGCTTTCCTATTGCTGTCCTTTAGATCTCCTGATCTCCTCCTGTTTAGCACCGGAGGATTTCTAAATGGCAATGAGCAGGAAAGCACTTCCTTTTGATTTCAATTTCCTTGTGTTCCCTTCAAAAGCAAATCAATAAAAGGAATGTCCTTTTTCTGTCTTTAAAGAGCAATTCCTAGGCCTAGGCCAGACTCCCTGGAATTGTTTTGGTGGCCGAATCTTTTTTTCAGGCTCCCTCAATCGTTTGCACACGTTGGTTATCCACAAATCGAGACTGAACATGCGAAAGTTCGTGGCTCTTAAGTCATTAAGTGGTCTTACTTGCAATCAGTTTAGATGGTTTAGTAACAAAGATAAACCATTTGGAAAAAAAAACTATATTGCGATCCTGATCGACTCGCTTGTACCTTTTACTTATACAGCAACTTCAATGTGTGCACAACAAATCCAACAAGTGCTGCAAACAAAGCAAAGCATTCCAACAAAGGGCCGGGCCCCTGCTGATCAGCCCTCGGTTCTTTGAAAAGACCAATCAGCTTCTCCTGTCTGTCAGAGAAAAAAAACAGGAAATTAGTTACTGCGCTCCTCAATGCGGCAACCAAAATCCAAAGCCAAAACGGGAGAGAAATCCCAGCTGGCAGTGTTTGACGTCCAGCCCACCTGAACCATCTTGCGAGCTTCAGGGTTCCGAGCCACTTCCTCTGGCGATTCTCCAAACAGGCGAGCAGTGGACTCGGAGAAGCTGATGGCCTCGGTCGACCGAAACCATCGCCCCGGTAGGTGCAGTCGGATCCAGTGCTGCCTGGGCGTGGAGTGGAACTAGTTCCACTGGGTCGTCAGCCAAGGCGCCAGGACATGCTGCACATGCTCCGAATCGCGAATCCTCACGTGCCCCTGCACAACGCAATGGGTGTATTTCTTATACATTCTTTCCAACAAACGGACGTTGAGAAGATGTCACGCAGCATCTGCAATTGCTTGGGGCAAAGATTCGGTGAGTTTCAGAACGTTTGGTCTGCGTTTCGCCACGATGCAATCTAGATCTAGGGTCCTGCCACTAGCAAGTTTCTTGAACTTGGGTGATCTGAAGTTGGGCAGACTGAAGGCATAAGGCAAACAAATGATCTGCCAAATACCTCCGAGTGAAGACGCTTCAGCATTCATGAGTCGGCTGAAAAACAGATTCTAATTATTCTACTCTGTGCTACCCAGTACACTGTACCAGCTAGCTAGTATACGAGTAGTATAACTACGAAATGCTACAAACAAGCATACATAAATAATAACTATTAAATGCTGATGAAACCACTATATTAACGAATTTGCAGCGTTTTCAGTTGTCTTTAGGTCATTCCTGACTCCGGAATGATCGAGTTCTTCGTGCCTCGAACTTCCAGAATCCCACAGTGTGCAGACACGGAAGCTCCGTTGGCGCCTGTTAGATGGTCTGGACTTGCAAGAGCTAAACTCCAGCAAAGACATTTGCAGCCCACACTTGGTGCAGGTCAAACTATGCCCAAGAATGTTGGTTAAATAGTGTTGACATTTGAGTCCGCACCTGCTTGCGCTTCAGGCTTAAAGGAAAGTCCTCCTCTTGTAGTCTTCCAGCGTGCTCCACAACGACATTGTTCTTTGTCAGGAGCAAATACTCTAAGCCGTCCTGACTGCGGGCGTCCAAAGGCAAATCATGTCAGGACATGTCCAGGCATTCAAACAGTTCGCATCGACTATATTTAGTTAAACTTTTGGAAATCATCAGGTCATGGTCATGGTTTCCATCTCCTACTAGTAAACCAGTCTCAACCAATGTGCTTATCAAGGAAACATATTGCATTCTACACAAAAGAAAAACACACTAATTACATCTACAACATATTACAACATTGTCTTGCTACTCGCAGTATCTTGCAGTCCTGCTTTTTTCGTGTGACATCATCTTGCCAGTCTGTTGAGAAGGGGATCGATGCCACCTCACCAAAAGGCACCTGCCCATTCTATCAATTCCGAAGCCAAGCTTCTGCCGGATGGGGTTTGAATGGTAGACAAACAACAAGAGGTGCAACAGCCAAGATTTCGGTACAGTGTATTCTGTTATTTTACCCCGCTCTTGCGGAGGTCAGCAAGTTTTTTTGTAGAGCTCCACCCTCAAGCCTTTCTCAAAGCAAAATCCCGATCATCTAATCGCAAGACATTGCAACAACAAAGATCCAAGCTTGTTTTCTACCAGTCGAAAGACTGGATCTTGTTCAAGAACCAGCTGTCCTTCTTTACTTGTGTTCCTCTAAGTCTCATCACAAGGCCCTAGGGCAGGCAGTGTCCAAGCATTTTTTGAAGCTCAAAGGCTGCCTCCTGCGCTTCCAGAGTCTTCGACACTCACGGCTTGATGCTTGTCTCACCAGCTGCACCACGTATACTCGTCTGAACAAAGCGCCAAAACGTCAATAAACATGCTTGCACATATATAACTAGTGGAACTTGATCAATATGGTTCTATATTCAGGGATCTCGATTCTCTTTCTAACTTAAAACTGCTGATTGGGATAAATGTCCCAACTAAACGGCAGCCGGAATAAAGCTGAACGATGGTCAAACAGGACCTGGCACTTCTTCAGGTTGAGCTAGTTGCAACAAGGCAGCATGAGAAAGATTATGTAACAAATGCTACTTCCGAATGTTGATCTCTGATAGCCAACCTGACAACCTGCCAAAAATGTGTCACCGGCATGTTTCATGCAGGTGAAAGTTGTTTTCCGGCTGTGTTGTGAACATAAATGTGTAGGCCAATACGAGCTGCTGCTACACGGAGAGTCCGGACAATGTCCTCTTTGGGCTCGGGCCCCCTTTGGGTGCCGAAGCAACATTCGCCGGATTCACAAGGCATCAAGGAGCAGAAACTAAAAAAAAACAAAAAACTCCAAAACTGATGATGTCCTTGCCAACAGAGCTAAAGCTATGTTGACCTGTCTACAGTATGTTTACGCTGGCAGGCACATTTTTCCTCATACTGTGACACCAAACACCTGAAACAATCCTGCTGTCGTCATTGGGTGACCATGGGCAAATGTTCTAGGAACAGCATCAGGTTGGAGGTCATCGCTATTAGGTTGGAGGCCATGGCTATTAGGTTGGAGGCCATCGCTTATTACGTTGGAGGCCATCTCTGTCATCTCTATTAGGGGAGGCCATCGCTATTGGTTTACATGTAAAGAAAATATCATCTTCTTACACACCAGGAAGACCTGCAAGAGGCTAGCAGGGATGCACATCAACCAACAACCCATGCAACATCATGCAACCAGTTCTGGGGGGTCAAAAGATTCAGCAGCACAACTTTTGTCTCGCAATTAGTGGTATCACTGTATCACTACCCATTATATACTACCCTATTCGCTCTGTTCGACTTGACTATGAACATGAAGTTGCAGCAGATGCTGACTGATCTGACTGAATCTGACTGATTAACAAATCATGCCAGGTGCACGTTGGAGAAACCCAGGTCGATGTAGAGGTCCACCAACCACCCACCACCCCAGGTCCACCAACCACCCACCACCCAGAACGCACCCCAATGCCTCATGGTAAGTTATGATGATCGTGCAGAACGTTTGTTCATCGAATGGCCCATGATAAATTGAACAAGTCAACCAAAAGTTCAAAGCCACCCAGAACGCACCCCAACCCCCGATGGTAGGTGGCTGCACGTTTGTTCATCGAACGGCCCATGACAAGTTCTTCTTCCTCCCCCTCTGCTTTAGCATCCAATATTCTGACAGCATTTTCTTCTTCTTCCTCCCCCTCTGCTTTAGCATCCAAATCAAAGGTGAATACAAAAACTGAGAGCATCTTCATCTTCTTCCTCCCCCTCTTCTTTAGGATCAAACTCAAAACCATTAGCGTCATCTTCTTCCTCCCCCTCTTCTTCTGTATCAAAATCAAAATCATTAGCGTCATCTTCTTCCTCCCCCTCTTCTTTAGTATCAAAAGCAAAATAATACGCGTCATCTTCTTCCTCCCCCTCTTCTTTAGTATCAGAATCAAAATCATTAGCATCAGAAACAAGAAAACTGAGAGTCAAAAAGAAGTGAGAGTCATTTTTGCAAGCCCCTCTGATTCTAATGATTTTGTTATGCCAAACCTTTCGAAAGCACCGACCAAGGCATTCATGAGTGTGCCGAGTTGGCACAACTTGCTGAGATGGACCATTGAAAAAAGCAGGGTACGGCCACAATCGGGGCCATACTAAAGGTAGTCTTACCTTCCTTTCGGTTCGTCTCTTTTTTACATCTGCCATGAATCTTATGATTCTGACATCAGTTGAACTGCACCTTGATGCGGATGCATCTCCAATGGGGAACCCCTGAGAACTGGGTGTGCAAGACACCCCATTCCTTGGAAATGCCGAGAAGAGTCTTGCGCTTACAGTACAATGAGCGCGCAATGCATGGTTGCCGTGACATTTTGAAGCAGTATTGAGTGAAAGTGTCTTCCAGGTCATAGGTAAGCGTGCAAGAAGTGTAAAGCATTGTAAAGTAATAGTTATAGTTTAAAGCCACAGCAACCGTATGCTGCTGTTGTTCCAAGTTCCACATGCACAACACTGTCACTGCGGCTTCTCACCTTTCAGGTACTTTGAGGCATCGTCACCCACCTGAGCGCTTGATCCGTTCCCCGCAATGGCCCATGCACCTTAGGGTAAGCCCTACGCATCATAGCTTTAGCCGTATGCGCTGCAGCTTGCAGGTAACTAGCGTAGATCTTTGCATACCTACTATGAACAAATGAACAAGCAAAGGAATCACCAGCCCAAAGAATCCAGCAACTCAACGACAACCGCCAATTCAATGTCTCATAGCTGCTTTGGGCATCCACTACAACTAGGCTATCATCAAATACAGATCTTCTGCATTCTTCTGCCCTGCTATTCCCTGGCTCTGCTCAGGCAAGAGCGCCACTAGAGTAAGACAGCTCGTAAGTCTTGCAGGTTTGTGCGTGTTCAATGCATCCTAGAGCAATTCAATACAAATGCAACATGTATTCGCACCTGGAGAAAGTCCAAGACTGCACACTCTGTGATGACATCCAGCGGTGTAAAGACCACCTCGACACGGACGTGACACGAAGTTACGGGAACGGCAGAAACCTCTCACAGCCATGACTACCCTGTAACCCTCAGCCCTACCGTGGGTCCTCTCAGGGGGTTGGGTGCTCGCTTTGGGTTGCAACACTTTACAATGCTGGTTTGCAAATGAGAGTGCATAAAAATGAACTCTGTTCGGGCAGCTGCATGGAGCTGAAGATGCTTTACAGGTAGCGCTGCCAACTGGTCACCACAAGACTTACTGCATGTTCTTCTTAGCAATGCAACCACACAGAAAATGGTGCGAATGTATCAAGACTTAAGGCAGAAAGGAATGTTGTCAAACGAAAAACATATACAGTATTTCAAACTGTGCAGCAACATTAAAAGTGAGGAGATGCAAGGAGGAAAATATGCTCGCTGTCAGACTCAATCACAGCTTGATATATTCAGCCAACAGTCTGTCTAGTAGGAGGCTTGTAGTTCAGTAAAACATTCTCAAGTCAGGCCTCTCGCTCGAGATATTCTTTGATGGCATCTTCTAATGTCAGGCCCAACTCCTGGCAAAGACCATGCAGTGGCTTTCAGTCAGATCGTGAGAACCTGGTCCTAGCCTGCAGTTTGCCAAAACTCACCTTTCAATGTATATAATTACAAAGCAAAGCACTTAAAGGCAAAACCGTCGGTTGCGTTACGAGTACTGTATCATTTTCTGTTCCCGTCGTTGATGCGCATGCATCTGGAACACAAACCAGTTGCTTATAGATTGGATTGTTCAGCCTTGCTAAAGAATTGAATTGAGCAGTGATTGTAGATGCCGCGCCAAAGGCATACATACATAGAGGAGTACACATATGTCACATTGGACATGTGCGCACAACAGAAGCAACTCAAAGGCGCATTGATAATGCTAAGATCCAACGCTCAGCTCGAAAGATTCTGCAAAGGTTCTAAAGTGTCTGTCAGTGTCTGTCTATTCATTTATGACACAAAAATAAACCCACTGATGTGACGCTCCGATTTTTACATTTAGTGAATATTCTAATTTAATTCAAATTACACATAATTCTAATTACTTTTAAACTCTAATAGCAAACATTGTTCCTAGTAGTAATGCCCTTTGCTCCTAGTAGCTTCTTGCTCCTACCCCCGCCCACTGATGTGAGGCTCCGATTTTGACATTTAGATACATTTAGTCTTTTAGTGAATCTCCAAGAACACCCGCCTTGAGCTCAGGGATGCAACCTTGCCGACCGGTGAAGGTGGGAATGATTGACGACAAGAAGCTCTGAAGACATCTCCAGACCAAGGGCCGAAACCAGTCGTAAAATATGCATTAGCTAAAAGGGCGAGGTAGGCCGCTAGAAGAGGTAAGGTAGTTAGAGTAGCTAGTAGAAGAGGTACTGGTAGCTAGTAGCTACTAGTAAGCTACTACATGCTACTACTTACTGGACTCAGGATAGCTCGCGCTTCTTCAAGGAAGCTCCCCCCGCCTGAGGGCACGGGGAGCTTCCGTGAAGAATCGCTCGCACTTATAAATGATTCGGTTCCTAGATTTTTAGGGAAACTTGACCTGAAAGAGGGACAGTGGCACTTGGTTGGGTCAACACCCTGAAGTCACTCCTCAAGCTGTCAGCTTTTGCTTTTGACAGTCACCCATATTTTGTTGTATGTGATGGTATTTGGGGGAAGGTGTCCTTTAAGAGGCCAATGAAGCGCCCTGTTCTCCCAGAAGATCACAGGGCTACTTCATTGACTCATTGACAGGCCAAGGCACGGCTCTCTCTCACAGACTCCGACGCTCGGATCATCATGTCCTTCTGCACCCGTTCAGACTGGTCCTTCGCGCCACTAAGGATCGATTTCCGCACCGCCCACGCAAAAAGACACGATTCGTTGTGTGGATTGTTGGCATTATCTGTCTACATTCATTCCACTGCGGATGGTCTTGAGTATCCTTCACCTTTGGCCGCGTGCCACCATACTCCAAATTACTCTGATCATGTCCGACTACCTGCTGAAGCCAACTTATAGATACAATATAATTCAACAGATCTCTCGCCAGGCTTCAGCTGTCAAAATGTCCGCTCTTACCTTGGCGCAAGGCAGTCAAGTACTCAACATGTCTGCAAAAAAGACATGTGCTGAAAAGTTGGACAGTGTTCCATCACGTTCCAACTGCTACTGCTACAGGTGACTAATTTGCATACACGTCACGAAGGAACATTTGTGTCTCAAGAGGCTTTAGCAGCAACCCATTTTACGAACCCTATATAGTGACATTGTGACACACTGTACAATGACAAGTCCAAATATCCCCTCTGAATTTGCCCTGAATGATTGTGCCTTGGTCAACACACACCGCTGTAAAGAGTTTTGTTGAAACCAGAACAGCAGCCGTAAACAAAATGAAACAACAACGCTGTTGTAGACTAAAACAATACGTCTGGTCTGATACGACGTACCCTGTACACATTTGAGATGACCTTTCACCCCAAGAAAGCCAAAGTACAGCACGCTCCAAGGTTGTCTGCACGGCATGCCAACTGAGCTTGTCCCCCATCAGGGCATGCCCCTCAGCGCTTCTATCAGAGGTGGGTGTAACAGTGTGACGTAGGATCTTGGACGGCAACATCTAGATGATGTGGCTCTACAAACATGCCCTTCAACATGGCTCCGATTGGAATGTTCAGAAGAGCACATGTGAACTAAGAAAGCCACGACCAACATGGTTGGAGTGTGTTTTCAGTTTACCTCTGCATTGCACTACTTTCATCAGGCCTTGTCTTCGTCACAAGGTGATGCGCCAAGGTGATACAGTGAAGCGCCATAAAAAGCAACAGTCCATCCAAGCCCTCGTTCTGCTGCAAAACTTCATTTGAACCACTCTTCCGCAAACGATTCGCCCAGTGCGCCGGTGCCCTGCCTTCAAAAGGCCCAAGAGTTGCAGATCCTTTGGAAGTGCTTCAAAGGCGTTCTTGAAGCCCTTGGAGTCCTGAAGGAGCACTGAAACATTTACAGTAAAAGACATGCCATATGACTTGTACTTCAGTTTTCATAGCTGCTGGGTGCCCAGTTGGGCACCTGGCGAAGCTTGAGAACCGAACAGAAAACACCTCTGATTCCTCTCAGAACGGACGGGGCATCAATTTCTTTGCGGCTCAGAGTCCTTGCAAAATCGCCATTCTGGCATCTCACCACTTCTATCCTGCAAAGGCTCGAAAAAAGCATTGAACCGGGAAGCTTCCTTTGTATGCCCACATTTGTTTCAAGAAAGAATACAGAGTACAAAGCTTATTGTACAACTGTTACCTCTTACAGTCATGATCTACTGTTTGCTGTGCATTTGCCATTGGAACCTATGCACACAAATAAACTCAGTTCATCAGTGTTCTATTTCCCAAGAGGTATATACAGCTGTGGCGGGCGCAATGATCCTATTTCAGTCCACTTGCCCACTTCACAACATGCTCGTCATCATCTTTGTCTGTGCAACCTACTCATTGACAAGATATGGCAGCTGTGGTGAAGGGCGATCAACCACTGTCCAGCTCATAAGTGAGGATATCTTCCTCGGATCAGAATGATCAGAATGTGAAACAAGTGGGGTGGGGTGGGATGGGTTGGGATGTTAAATTAACGTTGGGTTCTATTTGCACATCGGATGTTAATGTTCGGCTCTATTTGCACACCCATACAGAAGAAACTCTTCTACGCTACGCTACACACTGCGACAGACTGAGAGTGGGGTGGGGTCACTATTCGTTCAAGTAAGACTTCAGTGCCCTATTTGTCTTCCTATAAACGCACAACCATAAAAATAGTGGTGTTTTTCACAAACGTGTCACAGTCTTAAGTAAATCCAGCGGTATACTATATACTATATGTATATACTATACTTACATACATGCATGGCAAAATAGAAGAGCCTGCTCTTTAACGTTGGACGAAGTGCAACTGAAGAAGTCTTGTCTTCCCTATCAACTGTCTCAACCATGAATGTGCGGTGCTGCATCAAAAAACAGCAGGCTTAGCTCAGCTAAGCCCGTCAACAGCTTGGAACTGAACTCTGCGAAGAATTTACCAATGTCTTTGCACTTTGCACCCAAGATTCTGAAGCTCCCTATACAATCATATGTGGAACGGACCTGGACTTGAACCATGTCGGCGAATATTCCAAAGGACAGGTGTATTCCTCACAAATGCCAGATCCAAGCGTCATTTGCTTTGTCATCTTCTCCAATGGTTGTGCGGTCTACTTGCGCGAACCAATTTGGGCCCTGGCCATGTCGGCGCTTGGGACAATGCTATTGGCAAGGAGGTGAGTTGCTTCTGTGGCTCGAGTTAGAGTTGAGATGCAGCATGTTGAAGCATAAACTGAAGCTGCTACGAACTATCTCCAATTTTGCTTTAGCGCAATCAAGTCAATGGAGTTTGGGTATTGCAGGACTCACAAGTTCCACAACTTCAGATTTCGGCTTCGAGCTCAATATGATGCCTCCACATCCTGCTAAACACTTGCAATAACAGGCAGAAGTACATAAAAGCCCCCCTTATGAATTATGAACAATAGAACCTTGCTATTTGTCAGAACGTGTGGTCGTGGTCTTTGCGATCTCTCGCCCCCTCTCTATTTTTACCTCTCTCCCTTGTCTTTACACTGGAGTACCCCTCGCCGTGATTGAAACAACACGACCCAAAACAGAATGCACAGGGAACACAAGCTCTGCACTCTCTTTAAAGATCTCTCTTACTTTCTGTTGATTTCTGTTGTCAACCACCCCCACTAACTGCTAGCTCCGCATCACTGCGAGAACATGTCAATACCATTCAGCCTTCAGTCTCGTGCCTGGTCATCTTCAAATCGACCATCATTGATCGCCGGGATCACACACACGATCTGCCCCAAGGAGTGTTGCACAAGTTGTACATGACTACGAAAGCTTATCCTGCCAAGCGACAGGCTGTGGGGTCCACACTTCCAGCAACAGTGCAATTGAATAAATAGTGTGTTTTTTGACCCCAAAGAAAGCGTTGAAATGCATTCGATTAAGTTATTCAATGCTTTCTTATCAAACCTAAAAAGAACCGTACGCCAACCAGAGTCTCACAAATCACCTGCTTCAGCCAAAGTGCAACGGTACTGCTTCAGTAGCATGTGACCAACATTTCTATTATCATCAACAAGTCAATCAGTTTTTATATTTATATATATATACAATAGCAGCTATATGCAATTGGTGCCTTCTTGTTCCTGGTGACATGAAACGCCCATAGGTTCCCAACTTTGAAAAGGCAAGGCCACACTGTGAACCCTGCAAGTACTACGTGCTGATGCAGTTTGTGCATTCCAAGTTGAGCGCCTCTTCTTGCTCGTCCGCGACTAGGCTGATGCAAACTCAACAAGTCAACATCTGAATCTACAGGATAGCTTGCAAATTCTGGCTGGCAAGCTTTGTGTAGGTTTAGAACTCACAACGGGAACAAAAGTCAACCAGGTCAACCAATGGACCAAAGCACCAACGTACCTGTAAATCTGCATTAGCAGCCTACTTCTGCATCGCAAGGCAATGTAGCTGCCAGGTCTGCAACATTCAACGAAACATGCATAGTGGGTCCTTGAGGGGCGCCAATGTGAAAACTTGAAAATTCAACGGGCAGGTTAAGTTCCCCAAAATCTAGGAACCAAATGAATAGTGCGAGCGCTTCTTCAAGGAGGAGCTATCCTGAAGAAGGGGGAGCGGGGGAGCTTCCTTGAAGAAGCGTGAGCTATCCTGCGTCCATACTAATATCTACCTCTCCCTAGCATTCCCTAGCTACCTCTAGCGGCCTACCCTGTCCGCTAAAAAAATAGAAAATACTTAAATTTTGGGTTCAGTTCTTGGTCTCTGCCCTTTTGCAAACCCTTCGGGGAAGCACAAATTCCGTTTGTAACTGGCTTGAGTGTTGAGTCAGGCTCGTAGCGTAAAGCCAGGCATTTCAAAATTGTAAAGCGTACCTACGTGATCCTACGTGTGCGTGTGCCGTGTAACAGCCGTGTTGCATATATCGAATCTTGGGCTTGCAAAAAGCACATGGTTAGTCTGGGAACTACATCTGACAGCAGGTACAGTCTGCATGCAGAAGAAGCTGCATAAAAAGATAGAGGCGTTCCAAATTGCAGCCAAGCTGCACTTAAATTTGAAGGTGGTTTAGAGCTTTTGGAGTTTTTGGCCACTTCAAAACCTTGGTGCAAAAGAGTGCAGTCCGCTGTTTACGACAATGGTCATGATCGTTCTATTCCGAACCTGAAGTGTCTACAGGGCACTAAAAATAACTGGTTTGGTAATTTGGTACTAATTAGAATAAATGGAGACAAGCTACCGACAGGCCGCAAGCCTTTCTCCTGGAGCCAATCAGTGAGTGGATTGCCAGATTTGGACAAGGTCATGAAGCCAACAAGTGAAGCAATGCTGGTAATTTGCTTCACTTGAACTAGCGAGGATGACGTTGGCTCCAACATCACAACCCAGCACTGGTGAACCCGTCCTTTGCAAAGGTGCGTGCGAGTATCTGCATATCCAGTGGTGTTGGCCTGAGATGAACCAGAACAGTAAAGTTCTTACCGCATACGCCACATATGGCAACACGATTTACAGTAGTTTTTGCTTACTGTGTCAGTGTAGTTTCAGCCCGAGCATCGGCTGGCACCAGCGGCTTGCGCTGGCTTCCTTGATGAGTTGGGCCTGCCACCAAATCGGCAAACAGTGTTGAGGTCTCGAGCTTGCAAGTTGATGCCCAGACCGCGGAACAGTGGAACATCAAGCATAAATTGAGCTTCAAATGCATCTGCTCACTCATACTCACCCATAGCTTCGGGCAGGCTTTGGAAGGCTATCTGGAATGCCTGCTCAGCCATATCCCGAAACCTCTGCCATCCGTCTCCACCCGTCAGCTGCCTGATGTTCAGGCTCCACATCCGACAGCTTGGGCGCGTAGAGCTGACGAGTGGTTTTTGCGACCTGAGGGCTTGTGCTCCACAGGGATGAGGACTGGAGATTCTTGGTGACATGATACATGTGTCTTTGCCGTGAGCTGTGCTGAGCTCCAGCGTTGAGAGAGAATTTCTATATTAGGTTTGAAAGAACTCAAGGTATGATGACTGTTTTGGCCAAACGGGGCACAACCCCCCGGTCTCCCGTTAGACAAGCCACAACTTCAATCCTATTTGACAGCGCGCCGTAGAGCTTCTCACTTGATGTGCCCTGGTCGAGTCGAAAGTGTGGATTTTGTCTATCAGAACTCTAGCACTCGCTTCATAATTTGGATGTCTTTGATGTTACTTTGTTTGGACGTTTGAACAACATCTACATTTAATGCTGTTGTCTTGAAACGGATAAGGAATAGAGAGGGAATAGGTAGTGCTTGCGCCATTTGTCTGTGACCAAACACCTAGTAACAGACTAACATGTTATCGTTTGGAATGTTGCACTTTCTAGACCTGCCACACACACACAAACCAACAAACATTTCCAAAGCAGAATGAATCAAAGTCAAAGCTAAACTTTGCCGTGCCCGCTAGCCTTACTTTCCAGCTGCTCGATTTCAAAAATGCATTTCAAGGCGTCCTTAGTCAATGATGGCGTAGCATCCATCCAGTCTGCCCCACAAGTATGGATTGACTCACAGTAGCAAGGAGGCCCCAAACACAAATCTGCAGCTGCTTGGTTTATATGAATACCAATCACATCTCATCTAGAATTCAAATCAACATCCAAAGACCTCCACATCTGTCCACCTGATTTTGCCAGTCATTACAGTGAAAACAAACGTTTTTCGTTCTCACATCCTCCCACAATCATGCTTAGCATCGCTAGCACAATGCTTGCCAAGCTGCCACCAGAGTGTTCACCAAGTCAGGCACTTTGTTGTTAGGGACTCCAGATCGCTGCAGGACACCCACCTGCCACCTGGGTCATTGACGTAGTTTCCTTCTTCAAAGTGTTGTTGCAGGTTGAAGCCGAGCCTACTGGTTTGAGTCGTTGCGCTAAAAATCATAGCAGGCACTATGGATGTGCAAACTGCTCATCTAATTCTAGAAGCAGAACCTTGTGCATTTGCACAACTCGGCTCAGTGTCAGACCCGACAAATTCATCCAAGGAGACAAACTCTTTCACTTCAAAGTCCTCATGGCATTGCATCTAGGCTTCAGCTCCAGAATCTAGTTGAAAAAAGGCTAATTGCTTGCCATGTGATGTCATGTCTTGTCATTGGCAACTTTTTAAGGCTCCAGCCACCACCAGAGAGTCACCCTTGGCCTGGGACACGCTTGTGAGAGTCACAAGGCACGATGTGCGAAGCAACAAACATATTGCATGGTATTGCATAAGGTCAACCTGTCAGTTGGAGAAAGTGAGACACTAATCATAAGCTTCACAATGTTGCTGACCTTAACTGAGTCATACAGCTATCACCTGCTGACTGCTGAAGTTAGCTTGCATCCAAAAAGCTAATGGGTGGAGTCCTTGGCTGGCCGTGATGAAGTGTCATAGGGCTATGCGGCTGGTCCTTTTTCACATACACATTGCTTCTAAAAACATGAAGAGACAAACACGTAGTTAATTAGAATTCATTCTTGCAAAGTATGACTAGAAATTACACTGCACTTCCATTCAAGATCTCATTGCTTCCTCATCGCAATGGAAACTTGCGCTGATGAATTGAAATAAGCTTCGAAGAGAGTTGCTAAGGATCTGAGCGATCTCGTAAAACTCGTCCCTGTGCTTCGCAAACAATCGACAGCAAACGATCCATGGAGAGGTTTCACAAACCTTTTCGTTGCCCTACACACCCTGAAAAAGCTGTAAAGTGTCTCTATATGTATCAGTATCTATATATTACTGTATATATATATAAATGGTTTGAAGAGCTAAGCCTGCTGTTGCACATGGCAGCATACTAAAAATCCAATATGCTGGTCAAACAAATGGATTTCATGCTGCAAACATTCAGGTTTGGCTCGGCGCAAGTTGCGCAGGCTCCATCAAATCGTGGTATATACTCCAAAGTTCGCACAACAACGGTGTGGATCCCCTTGTTTTGGCTGCTTCCTTGCCTCGTGATATGACCACTGCCATCCTTGTCCCACATCTCGAAAAGAGGCTTAAGCCTGGTCGTCGAGTCGTCTCCAAGCCAATGAGTTATGTACATGAAATAAAATGTTCAATCATTACATAGTGATAAGTATATACCAATTACCTTCAACAACAAGAAAAACCGCTTTCATGAGTCGTTCGGCTTCAATATTTCTTGCAGATCGACCGGACAAGCCATGAGAAACCGATCCCGCTCGAGTCTGCCAAGTCACATGGTCTTCAAATCGAAGGGTGAGATCCAGCCGTCCGTTCCCACAGTGTACTGAGCTGATCGGTTCGTGAGCCAGGCTACAAACTCTTTGTAGTCGACGACCTCAGTGTGAAGACCCCAAGACCTGGTTCGAGAGTCAAGTCAACCTGGTGAGGAACGTGTCGGAACAATATCCAAATCGATCCATCCAAAAACTTCAGACTGATATTCCTCCCATTCCGCCATTCCGCCCTGTGTGGCCTACAGTCATTCTCTGCAAGTCTCAGAGTCTCAGGTAAAACATGGTGAAACACACACATATATAAGCACGCGGTCTTGAAGGCCTCTGAAAATGAACGAGGCGCTCCATCGAGGTTGGTGTCGATGCAACCAAGAAGAGTATCGATCCTAGTTTTCCAGGCTATTCCAGGAAAGTTCAGGAAATGTCCATCTCATGATGAAGCGCACAACACGGCCCAAAATTGTTGCCTTCTTTCTGGAATACTATATATAATTAGTATACAGAGCCAAAAAGAAGGAGTATGGCTTCATGAAGTTAAACAAATGCAGGCGTCTCGGCGTCTTGAGTGTTAGCTTGTTACAGGCTTCCCATGAATGCACCACACCATCAAATCTCAGGTCATGCGACAAATATGGAAGTGTTCATTTCCATGCAACGAAATCAAAGTCACCACAAATGCCATGGGCAGTTTGGAGGAAATATATACATATATATGAGGGACGGTCAAAACTCCTTATTCTTCTTCAACAAAAAATGGACGTCATCGGTTTTGAGTCGGACCTTATCGTTTTACAGTGTTTTGAGTTCGTCGCATACTTATGATCATATACAGCGCTGGGGTTATCGGTTTTGAGGTGGACCTTATCGTTTTGCAGGGTTTTGTGCACAAACCTACCCCTCTTTACTAAAGTGGTCTTCGCATGTTTTGACCGTGGCTCATATGCATATCCGTACATTGATGGTGCTATAACTTTACCAATCCACTCAGCTTCAAGAGGTCAAGTGATCACGATGCCTGTATCAAACCTCCAGACCGACACAAATCCAGAAACTCAATCGTTCAATCTTCTCATGCCCTTCCCCTCTGGTGCAAGCCAGCTTCTGGTCCATGCTCAAGGAAGGTGAGACCTTGCCGCACATATCCCCGGATGCATTCAACACATGTAAAAATGAACCCTTTCGTGCTTCTCTCTTTACATGGAATATTCTGGTCGCGTTTCTTGCAACCAGCACTTACATTGCATTTGCATGCATTTGCAAATCCTTGAGCAGGTCTATTTGCAATGACCTCCAAATAGTTGGAATCTGTCAGGCTCTGACAATTGGAAATTGGGCACTCGCAGTTGACAAAGAAGATTGCAAAACATGGATGCCAAGGGATGTCTGCTAATCTGCTAAGGGTCACAAATACAATTTTGTCCCGGTGGAGTACCTCCTCAGTGAACAACTTGCTCCACTCGCTCTCGCCGGCCTTGTACATGATCCTCGACAACTCGTACCGGTCAATGTAGCCACTATGGTCCTTCCAGGATCTTTGAGCCGTGAAGCCAGATCTGGGACGAAAACGCAGAAAATGCGTCACGAAAATGCATTGGCGGTCCTCATCCCAGCGTTCAAAGATCTCCAACACCGCCTGTACAGAAATGGGAAGAATTCGGAAGAATGAAAGACGATTTGAGGCTTGGTCAGAATCAGGTGAGTGAGCCCATGTCATGTTGCAAATTAATTGGCCAGTTGCCATTCTTTAGTGTCGTTCTTGATTGCTTCATATTGCTTCAATCAGTAGCATGCGCAGCTCGCGAGTTCGGGCAGAGTTGTCACATCGACCAATTAATATGCTTGGAAAATCTGAATGGTCCCACATGTGCTATCATTTCAGTGGCTATCATCACAGCTCTGGGTGGGTTACAAATACAATGCAATTTTCTTGATTTTACCTTTTCTGGTCAAAACAACATGCAGGATCCTTGCAAACTATAGACTGGCGGGCATTTGTTTTAATATAAATATGTTCCTTACAGGCATTGACACATATTGACACTTTCCGCGGAGCTAGGGAAGTTTCAAGTTTCAGAGGGCTTCCTAGCACGTTCTTTCGCTGAAATGTAAAACGTATGAACTCGAGCACTTTTGTACTTAGTAGCGATGGCCTCCAACCTCAGAGAGTACTTTCCTAAGCTCCTGACGTTGGCATTGAATTCCGAAAACTCTGCTGTGGTCGATGCGCTCGCCATTGAACGCCCAAGAGGCAGCAACGGCCCATGAGGTGGGAGGTGCAAGTCTTTCTGAAGTCTTGTCATGGCATTCGCTTAGCATGGGGTATTATTCAAGAAACCTCTTTGTCAGAGCTCAAATAAGAAATATATAGTGCTCTCAGTATCTCTGAGTGCTCTCTCTCACTGCCAACATTTGTGTTGTAGTCTACTGTAGTCTGCCCAACTGACGCGTCAAGCCGAAACCCATCGGTTGGTGTTTCACAAGCATTCGGGACTGTTCATTTCAATCTCGACCCTTAGCTACGGAACCTTGTTGTGTAAGCACTGAAGGGCTTGGCTGCAGTCACTGTAGTGAGTGGTGAGTGATGAGGCCTATCAACATAGAAAAAGAACAAACAACTAGCTGACTAGCTAACAACGACCGAATTGAACAACACCTTTATATACAAGCAAAGCTTCTATGGAGTCGTGAACTATGGACCCTACCTTGAATCATTGAAGAAGTCCATGCCTTTTCCACTGCAAACAATGCATCCTTTTCAAGCTTAGTACTGAAATACATTTCCAAGATTTTCCAAGAGTCTTTTGATGTCTTTCGGTTCCTTTCCTTCCAAAGCGTTAGCCCTTTCATCTCTTCTGCTTTTTCAAGTCGCCAACTCACCCGTCCCCCTGTCTAGCAGCGCCTCGATTCGCCTTTGAGTCCAAGGGGGCTCTCCCTCACCTCAAGAGGTTGGCCAGGTAGGAAACAAAGGAAACCTCCATCCAGGTCTGGTCTTTGGTTCCCCACTGACAGAATATGGGAAAATCCAACGCTCAAGTTTCACAATGAGCAAGGTTCCTGGTAAGTGTTGATATCACCACTTGTCATTGCGGTGACTGTACATCAACAACTTCGGAATCAACACCAAAAGAATCTGCGGCTGCGTTTGTCTCGATGCGGCCTCTTGAAGCGCGCCACCAACGCATACCTGTCTGAAAGTCATAGCGCGACCCACAATTCCGGCACCTCACTCCCATCAAGTCCTGGCAGAGCTGCACTGCAGGCTCTTAGGGTCTTAGAGTCTTGGGTGTTTGTGGTTTGTAAAGCAGTCATGTCAAACATCATATCAACGCTTACTGCGCTTTCGGACTACACTTTGCACTACGGGACATCCAGTAAATGGTCTTTGTTCTGATGAGAAGGCATCTGAATCTTTGGTCCAAAAACTGGGTTTGCTGGTGTTTGCTGCCTGTGAAACTCGATGAGAATGAGACTTTGGACAGCAATCCCTTCGGAATCTTCGCACTGATCAATCTTCAGGCCTCGATCTGGGGAGTCTTGCTGAGTTCGTATGGAGGGCCACCACAAATGCCTTCAACTTGGAAGTTGCCAAGCAGCAGATCTCCAGGCGCCTGCAGCGCTAGGATCACAGTTTGATCAATGCGTTCACGTACTGGCCACAATGAAACTGTAGTCCTCCAAGTGACAAATGTGCCTCTGCAGAGATTTTTCAAACATATCATTTTTGAGGGTGTCTTTGGGTCGTTGAGTTGATAAGTATGTGCCAAGTGTGCAACATGTCATGCTTGCATGAGTGTCGACGAAACCAGTTTGTTGGATTTCTTAGGCACAAAAATTTGCTGTGCAGAGTTATTGCAGGTGTTTTTCCCTATTTAAAGGTTTGGAGGGTTTGGAGTTTGGAGGGGGATGCAGCACCCCAATTTCAACTACCCGCACGTCAGATTGTTATTCCAATGCCCAGCAATGGCATGAAAAGGCTATGTATATTCCTATGCAAAAAGAACCCACAATGATTCTTGTAGCCCATACATGCCCATACATCCTTCAGTTTCCCAAAATTTGTTATTGCTTAAGGGCATAGAGGATCCAATGAGGGCATAGAGGCATAGACAGAAATGTACAATAAACACATGTTTGACGCTTCTGTCTTCGAGCTATGAACAAACAAACAAAATTGACATGAATTGACAAATACGCAATGCACACGACTACAATCTCTATAACACCACGGCGCAACCCCCTAGAAGGGGGAAGCCTGTGAACCCTGTGAACCATTCTGCTGTATACCACAGCGCCCATAGTTTTAAGGAGGATACGTTCAAACATGTTTCATGTGTCACAGTGCCTTTGTGTGAACACCCAGGTAGCGAACGAGTGTTAACCACGCCCAAAACAAAAGACCGTGAAACCATTATTATGCCATATGGCATATGTTTTTCCGGGCAAAACGACACCACCAGCCATGTCAATCACAGGAACAGTGAACTTACATGTTTCTGCCTTTACCTATTGGATGACTATTTGACTCTCATCCTACAACTTGTGGCTTGGGCCACGGAATGTTTGTGTACTGGATCGTGTCCTTTTTCTATCTTGTGGAGCGAAGCGATGATTCATTGTTAGTTTTGGTCTCGTCACAACAGGTGGTTGCTTATCCCTATGTTTTTCAAACGTGATTGATTGGGTACCGGACAACAATTCCTCCAGTCTCGTCGAACGGTGGATCCATACATACATGCGAAAATGGACAAACAATGTCCAAGAATTGAGATTTTGTGGGTCACAAGTGAAGACTGTAACAAGACTTTGTAGGTCTGGAAGAGTATTTACATTATGTGCGTCGATCTTATTCAACTGTCAACTCCATTTTTGTACTCTCACTACTTTAAGTTCTAAGTGCATCGATGTTCTCAGTGTTTCAGTTCCAACTTATTTTAACTTAACATTCTTATCTTATCTTTTCTTTTCTTTGTACTTGAACTCTTAAGTGCATTGCTGAATGTCTCAGTGTTGCAACTCAAACTTACTACCAAATTACTTGCGTCACCGCCCTAAAGCACAACTTTGACAAACATGATTATCCCGGCCAGAGACCCCAAACAGTGTGTGTGAGGTCGAGAGGCAATGGTGGTGATGAAGGTGGAGGTCGTGGTGATGATGGTGGTGGTGGTGGTGACTGTGACTGTGACTGTGTGAGTGTGAGTGCGAGTGAGAGTGAGAATGAGAATGAGAGTGAGAGTGTGAGTGTGCGTGAGAGTGATGAGTGAGTGAGTGAGAGTGAAGAGTGATGAGTGAGTGAGTGAGTGAGTGAGTGAGTGAGAGTGAGTGAGTGAGTGAGTGCGTGGGTGAGTCAGTGAGTGAGTGAGTGAGTGGGTGGGCTGCGCTTCGGGGTTCACAAAGTACTGCGCCTGCGACGAAATCTGCACTTGGAGGTTCACCAAGTCAAGCGCTTTGCCTGCCAAAAAATCTGCACTACAAAATCTGCACTTCGAGGTTCACCAAGCGCTGCGCCTGTCACGCTGCACTTCGAGGTTCGCAAAGTACTACGCCTGCCACAAAATCTTCACTTTGAGGTTCACCAAGCGCTGCGCCTGCTGCAAAATCTGCACTTCGAGGTTCACCAAGTGCTGTACCTGCCACGAAATCTGTACTTCGAGGTTCACCAAGCCCTGTGCCTGCCATAAAATATGCACTTCGAGGTCAACAAAGTGTGCTGTGCATGTCACGAAATCTGCACATCGAGGTTCACAAAATGCTGTGCCTGTCACGAACTCTGCACGTCGAGGTTCACAAAGTGCTGTACCTGCCACGAAGTCTACAAACGAGCCACATGTCGAAAAGCTACGATTCACTGCACCTGTCACGAAATCAGCGATCACCACCATGTCCAAATGCTGCACCTGCCACGAAATCTGCACTTGGAAGTAAAACCGCTCCGATCCCTTGCACCTGTCACGAAAAGTTGACTTTGGACCACCAAAACACGAGGTTTCCCTTGCGCCTGCCACGAAAAGTGAGCACCATGTGCGAAGATGCGCACGGCACCACAACGAGAGCGCAGTCGCTAGAAGCTCCCGTCGCGGCCACCCAGATTTGCATGTGGACGATTTCGAGAGGTATGAATGTGCTGTAAATAGCAGCGAGTTGGCCGTCCACGCCCGCGCGCTTCAGCGATCTAAGCATCAGCTGCTTTACCACTACCGTAAGAATCCCTAAGTGACGACCCTGACATACTGTGTTCAAAAAAAGGAACGCCATGAAAAGCCTCTTCCAGACTTCACTTCACAGGCAACAGTTCTTTGTGGCTCTCCCCGGTGACCTGTCACTGCCCGCAGTGCTTTATGATGCTTTATGCTACGCTGCAAAGCATTGCCAAGTTCATCCATATCATCATCATCGTCGTCGTCGTCCTCCTCCTCCTCATCATCACCATCACCATCACCATCAGCATCAGCATCACCATCACCATCACCATCACCATCACCATCACCATCATCATCATCATCATCATCATCATCATCATCATCCATTCCACTACAAAAAATTGTCAACAATTCAACAATGTTACAACATTGTCGTCGTCGAGTTCGCAAGACTGCCAACACAACATTGTCAGTAATTATCGAAGAGTCGTTTGATCCTTAACAAATTGGGGTGGAGGATGGTGGAGGGAGAGCTGGGGTATCAGCGGGGTTCACAACATGCTCATTAATTTTGCAAAATTGTCATTGCTGCGCCACGACGTCATCGAAGGAACGACAGTATGTCTAGCCGAGGCAAAGGGGAACAAGTTGGTTTGCAATCCAGAAATGTCACGACCAAGAGCGGCTGCTTATCCAGTTAGACAACCTTTATTGCTGCAGTGCAGTCAACCAGGGGCATGGCTCCCTGACGGTTGCTGCTTCTTTGAAGAGCGCTCGCATGGATCGCAATGGCTCTTACACGTCTTGGATGCAGGGAAATGGAGGCCATCACTTCTAGGTTGGAGGCCATCGCTTCTAGGTAGGGGGGCAGAGCGGCCTTTTTCTTAAGTGTTTTGAACAAGTTCTTTGCTGCCATCATCTTCCTGCCTGCGGTCTCAAGGCTTCCAGTATCGGAGATAAGCTCCCCTGCACGCAAGGGGGGGTTGTTCAATCATTCCCTGAACGTGGTGAAGCGGCCAACAATGCGAATGATTTCTTGTTGTTGTGAATTCATCTGGCTAGTCTGAAACCAACAAGTCTCTCCATCACTAAAGAAGTGAAAAGACACACTCACAGCGGAGTGGCAAGGAAAATGAGCAAAAACTG